ATACTGATCGTCATATCTCGACTAGCTGAGTCGATCTAGACATGTGTGTCCGTCCGTCTGCCGATTATAATTTGTAAACACGATACAGACCACAGTTATGGACCAATCTTCATGTAGGCTAGGTTCTGCCCAATGAAGACCCCTATTGTTTTTGGTAATGATCGGTTCATGTTTAGGGGATGAAATGGACCGTATATATTTACTCCTGAAGCATTTAGATCCGCGAAGTTGATAGTGTATCCAAGAGGAACGGTTAACCTTCAAAATTACTTCAATTACATTGTCGTATGTATTCGGATATGGGAGTTACTCTTAAATATTTACAGGTGCTTCCGTACTCAGATATTATTTAGTAAATCATTACCACACTAGAGGGCGGAAATATAGCGCTTATCGCCTTGAAATGTTTCATGAGGTTCTAGTTATGGTCAAGGACAACGTCTATAATTTTCGGTGATGATCATGAGGTTCTAGTTATGGTCAAGGATAACGCCTATAATTTTCGGTGATGATCTGATAATAATTTTAGGATGAAGTGGACCGCAAACTTGATCTTTTGTTTTTTTTTTTTCGATTCGATCTATAGGCCACAGTTGAAAGCCGAACATAGCAACACAACCTACGGTGAAGGGGATATGGACAAGTAATTATGGACAAGTAATTGATAATATTCGGAAAATATGTCAGTGTAATGAAGAGGTGCTGTTGACCTCTAATTGGACAAGAGGATGCAACTATCACGAAATATTACGCAGATTTGGAATAAAAATTCGCAGAAAGAAAGAGTTCTGTGGTAGTCGTGTAGGGTATCGTATGGTCGGCCCCGTCCGACTATACTGCCCTGCTCACTGGTTTTTAAATATTTTTTCCAGTTTCAACAAGTCGAAGATTTTTTAAAAATAATTTTTTGTGTAAAAAACAAGCTTAGATTTTTAAAAATATTTTGTCCAGTTTCAACAAGCCGAAGATTTTAAGATTCTTTTTAATTTTTTTGAAGCGTAGATTTATTAAAAATATTGTTTCAAGCTTAGATTTATTAAAAATATTTTTGTGAAGTGTAGTTTTATTAAAGATATTTTTTTCAAGGCGTAGATTTATTAAAAATATTTTTTTCAAGGCGTAGTTTTTTTAAAATTTTTTTTTCAAGGCGTAGATTTTTTAAAAATATTTTTTTCAAGGCGTAGATTTTTTAAAAATATTTTTCAAGGAGTAGTTTTGTTAAAAATATTTTTTTCAAGGCGTAAATTTATTAAAAATATTTTTTTTAAGGCGTAGATTTATTAAAAATGTTTTTTTCAAGGCGTAGATTTATTAAAAATATTTTTTTCAAGGCGTAGATTTTTTAAAAATATTTTTTCAAGGCGTAGATTTATTAAAAATATTTTTTTCAAGGCGTAGATTTTCTAAAGAATTTTTTCACGTCCCAACAAGGCGTAGATTTCTTAAAAATATTTTTTTCAAGGCGTAAATTTATTAAAAATATTTTTTTCAAGGCGTAGATTTATTAAAAATATTTTTTCAAGGCGTAGATTTATTAAAAATATTTTTTTCAAGGCGTAGATTTTTTAAAAATATTTTTTTTGAAGGCGTGGATTTTTTTAAAAATATTTTCTCTAGGCGTGGATTTTTTTTTAATATTTTTTCAAGGCGTAGATTTTCTAAAAATATTTTTTCAAGCGTATTTTTTCAAAAATATTTTTTTCAAGGCGTAGATTTTTTAAAATTATTTTTTTTCAAGGCGTAGATTTTTTAAAATTATTTTTTTCGTAGATTTTTTAAAAATATTTTTTTCAAGCGTATTTTTTCAAAAATATTTTTTTTTGAAGTCTACCCCTTATTTTTTAAAAATATTTTTTTTTAGATATTTTTTTGAATATTTTATTACATTTTTTTTTTTTGCACAAATCCATCCCATTCGTGATGATGTTTTTTAATTTTTAATGTTTCTATGTTTCTATAATTATTTCTTTTTTATTGCCAATTTTCATTTAATTTTCTCTCTTCCATTTTTTTTAGTGCGCACCAGCAATCCATATTTCCTCTGCTCCGCCTTGCCCACACACTGGCGTTCAAATAAAACCCTGCCGATTGCCTTTAAAGTTGTGGCCCTGGTCGATGTGGGAGATGGTACCAATGTTTATATCCGTGCCGGCAACGATGAGAACTGTTGTGCCGAATTGAGAAATGATCGGGCAACAATGAAAGATCAAGTGGCCAAATTTAATGATCTGCGTTTTGTGGGACGAAGTGGAAGGGGTAAGTAGTGTGTGTGTTTGTGTTTTCTTATAAACATTGTATTTATGAATGAAATTTGCTTTCACACATTTCCAATGTACGATTTTGGGCTTCACGTCCGATTGATTGTGCTGTAAGGCAACGATCACCTCAGAAGTTCACTCACAGAAGTCGTCACATTAACCTTTGACGTTTTATGTTTGTAAGAATGGCCTAAGGTCAGCATGCAACAGAAGCATGATGAGGAGGATGATGATACTGACTGATGATGACGACTACCTGCTGTATGACTGCACCATGTCCAATGGTGGTTACAGTACAGCGCTTCCAAATTTGTTTTCTTTGCCGAAAAAAAATGAAACGAAACGAAAGGCAGACATCACAAAGTGTTTGCATTCGTGCTTCCTTAATTTGCAACAACTGACATCTTTTTAGGACTTTTGGTGTGTCGTGCCTCACTTGCAGTGTGTCGGCCATTCAAATGCCCAAATGGAGCGGCAGAGAGTGAGCGAGTGGCAACAACAAAAAATGTACTTGTTGCCAGCAAATGCCAACAATTTATGAAAAGGAAGTCTTTGGCCTAATAAAAGTCCTTCGTCACACGTTTCAATGTCTAGCTGTTGGCAATCGACATGAATGATCATTCATGATCATGTCTTGTGTTGTATTGATATTTGCTGTTTATTTTTTTCTTTTGAGTTCTAAATTCTTTTGCTGACACGCAATCCGCAATTTGTTTGCCAGACTTTAGTTTTGTTTTGGCTAATAATCGATTGGGTTTCTGCTCTACTAACGAGCAGTATGTTCGAGGGGTTTCTTATTCTTCTTTGGGAGTAATTAACTCACTGAGTAACTAGGATACGTGTTTTGCAGACCAGGTAGAAAGAGTGCACCAATCTAGCAAATTATGTGTCATATGTTTCTCGAGCAATTAGACGACGTGCTAAGTTCGATTTACACCATGTGGTCTACGACTATTAAGACGAACGTTCCACTAAGGACGAGGGGACGATATTATTTTAAAAATATTTCTTTGAAGGCGTAGATTTTTTTAAAATATTTTTTTCAAGGCGTAGATTTTAAAAAAATATTTTTAAGGCCTAGATTTTTTAAAAATATTTTTTTCAAGGCGTAGATTTTTCTAAAAATATTTTTTTCAAGGCGTAATTTTTTAAACAATATTTTTTTAAGGAGTAGATATTTTTAAAAATATTTTTTCAAGGCATAGATTTTTTAGAAAAGTTTTTTTAAGGCGTAGATTTTTAAAAAATATTTTTTTCAAGGCGTAGATTTTTTTAAAAATATTTTTTTCAAGGCTTAGATTATTTAAAAACAAATTTTTCAAGGCGTAGATTTTTTAAAAATAATTTGTTCAAGGAGTAGATTTTTTTAAAACAAAATTTTTCAAGGCGTAGATTTTTTTAAATATTTTTTTCAAGGCGTAGATTTTTTAAAAATAATTTTTTCAAGGAGTAGATTTTTTTAAAACAAAATTTTTCAAGGCGTATATTTTTTTAAATATTTTTTTCAAGGCGTAGGTTTTTTTAAATATTTTTTTCAAGGCGTAAATTTTTAAAAATATTTTTTTCGAGGCGTAGATTTTTTAAACATATTTTTTTCAAGGCGTAGATTTTTTAACATAATTTTTTTCAAGGCATAGAGTTTTTTAACTTATTTTTTTCAAGTCGTAGATTTTTAAAAAAAATACTTTTTTCAAGGCTTAGATTTTTCTAAAAAAAAATTTTAAGGCGTAGATTTTTCTGAAAATATTTTTTTCAAGTAGTAGATTTTTAAATTTTTTTTTAAGGCAAAGATTTTTAAAAAATATTTTTTCAAGGCAAACATTTTTTAAACAATTTTTTTTTATCAAGGCGTAGATATTTTAAAAATATTTTTTTCAAGGCGAAGATTTTCTAAAAATAATTTTTTTCAAGGCGTAGATTTTCTAAAAATAATTTTTTTTCAAGGCGTAAATTTTCTAAAATAATTTTTTTTCAAGGCGTAAATTTTCTAAAATAATTTTTTTTAAGGCGTAGAATGTTATATCCTACACAACTATGTTGCCAGGGTATTATAGGTTTGTGCAGCCCCAAAATTTGTAACGCCGCGAAATATTCGCCCTAGACCCACCTTTAAGTATAAAGATCGTCATATCTCGACTAGCTGAGTCAATCTAGAGATGTGTGTCCGTCAGTCCGTCAGTCCGTCCGTCTGTCCATTATAATTGTAAACACGATACAGACCACAGTAATGGACCAGTCTTCACGAAATTTTGCATGTAGGTTGTGCTCTGGTCAATGAAGACCCCTATTGTGTTTGGAAACGATCGTTTAATATTTAGGGTATGAAATGGACCAACAACTTTATTTTTGTCTGATATTCTGGTCGCTCCAGAGGCCACAATTATGGTCCAAATATCACGAATTTTTACATGGGGATCGGTTCAAGGGGATCGGTCCAAAGAATAAGCATGCCTGTTTTGATAAAGATCGGTCAATATTTAGAGGGTCAAATTGACCCTGACTTTTGTGTGAAAAATTACAAATTTTGTATTCTATAGCGTATAGATTTACCCCTGAAGCACATAGACCCGAGAAGTTGATAGTATATCGAAGAGGAGTGGTTGACGTTTAAATCGATACCAATTACATTGTCGTATGTACCCGGATGTGGGAGTTACAGTAAACATTTACTGATGTTTACGTATTCATATATTATTTAGTAACCCATTACCACACTAGAGAGCCGAAATATAGCCCTGATCGCTTTGAAATTTTCCACGAGGATCCATGTATGGTCAAGGACAACGCTTATAATTTTCGGCGATGATCAGATAATAATTTTGGGATGAAGTGGACTGAAAACTTAATTTTTTCGAGTCGATCTACACAATTATAATCCGAACATAACAACACAACTCACGGTAAAGGGAATCTGGAATCTGGGCTGTTCTGAATATTGGAAATATTCGGAATTTATGTTAGTGTAAGAAAAAGGCGCTGTTGACCTCTAATCGGGCAAGAGGGTGCAAATATCACGAAATATTGTTCAGGCTCGGAATAAACATCCGCAGAAAGTTAGAGTTCCGTGGTAGTTGTGTAGGGTATTCTATGGCCCCGTCCGACTATATTATATGATCGTATGTACTCAGATATGGGAGTTACACTTAAATATTTACAGGTACTTAGGTACTGAGATATTATTTAGTAACCCACACTAGAGGGCCTACATATAGTGCTGATCACTTTGACATTTTCCATGAGATTCCAGTTGTGGTCAAGGACAACGCCTATAATTTTCGGTGATGATCAGATAATAATTTTGGGATGAAGTGGACCGAAAACTTAATTTTTTGGTGTTTTCTTCGAGTCGATCTATAGGCCACAATTATAGGCCGATCATCACAACACAACTCACGATGAAGGGAATCTGGACAAGTAATTAGAAGGACTGTACTGAATATTAGTAATATTCGGAAAATAAGTCACTGTAAGGAAGAGGTGCTGTTGACCTTTAATCGGCAACTTTTTTTCAAGCCGTAGATTTAAAATGTTTTTAAAGCCGTAGATTATTTTTGTTCCAAGCCGGGGATTAAATTTTTTTCAAGTTCAAAGATGGCGTAGATTAAAAAAAAAATGTTTTGTTTCCAAGGTGTAGATTTAAAAAAAAAAAAATCAAAGTATTTTTTCAAATTCCAAGATGGCGTAGATTTTTTTAAAAATATTTTTCGAAGTTTCAATAAGCCGTACATTTTTTAAAAAATATTTCTTTTTACTTTACACAAGATATAGATTTTATTGTAGAGGGTCTACAAAAAAAAATGTTATAAATTCCAGCAGATAAGTAAATCTTGAACTTAACCTACATGTTGAGTTATTCGAAATGACTGACTGACTATTGGTCTGACAGAAATTAATCAACTCCAACACATCTTAATCAAATCATTGTTCATGAAAAAAAAACATATCCAAATAAATTAACGACTACTTACAACAACAAACCGAAACATATCATTTGAAATATAGGAATGAGTCGAACTTAACGAAGAATAAATAAAAAAACTCAAAACTGGAGCACAGCAATTTGTAATTGTGCCGTGTGAACAAAAGATATGAGAGGCCAAGTCTTTTGTTCCCATTCCGAAAAAACACAAAAAAATCTGAAACAAATAGTGCTCTGATTTTGAAAAATATGATTTTGTAATGACTTTATTTAACGGAAAACAGCCACAATAATAACAACAATAGAATCATAAGCGTCATATTGAAAGGGAATACTTCGGGTTCCCTCTGACACATTCCTCTCGTCGACGGAGTATGTTGGTGGGTACAGAGTTCAATGTTGTGTGTGTTTTTTCATCTTCGGCTAATTTGTGTAATCTTGTAGTTGATTTTATTTATTTTTTTGGAGAGAGAGTCTGAAAACAAATTGTATAAAATTTGTAGAAATGAAATAAGACAATACCGAATATTCAACAGCAAGCGTTTTAAAGAGTTATGTCTCTTCGGATAATTACTGCCCTGCTTAGTTTTCTTTCATTCATTTTGAAAATTTGTAGATAAATCAAATAAACGTACGTCAAAGGATTACATTGATGGGCCAGATACACACACACACGACCTTTATGACGACCGATAATGTGATTTGGAGAAGATCATTCTGCTGATAGCTATTATTTACCTTTCATAGGTAGCGTGGCAAGGGTTAATATTCTTAGCTTCAATGAAAATGTTATTTGATTGTTAGCGTTAATTATGTTGTTGCTGGTGGTGGCGGAGGTAGGCAGTGTTGAAGGATGGAATCTAATGTCGGCAGCATTTTATCTTGGAGGGTATTTCATAAACGGCGCGTGTCGCTCATTTAGGAGTTGAACGTTTTTTTTTTTTTTTTTTTTTGAAAATATCTCAAAACAATGTAGTCAACATTAAATGATTTAGGCTGATTTAGACTAAATGGAAATAAAAACCGAATAGATTTCAGATATTTTTTTTAAATCATATCTTCGAAGTAGTTTTTTTTTT